TGACAACCTTCCTTTGGAAGATGAAGATGAAAATAATGATGATGACCTAGGTGTTCAAAACAGTGAAAGTTGTGTTTCATCTAAAAAGTCGATCAAAAAAAGATCACAAGCAAGAATTATCCGCAGTGTTTGGTTTAACAAAGAATCTCAACCAGAAAAACATTATCGTGAGTTGATCATGCTTTTTACTCCATGGCGAAATGAACAGGTCGATTTAATGGGAGCTTACTCTTCCTTTGAAGAACATTACGAAGCTCGTCGTGATGAAATCAGTGAACAAATGCAAGAATATGCGGTTTGTAGTGAAGATTTAAATGAAATTCAACATCACTTACAAGAATGTGATGATGATGCATATGACACAATAGCACCAGTTACACAAGACACTGAACGTCGGGATGAGAACGAAGGTAATACAGATACACATCCAGATTTAAATGAAACATATGATATCTCTGAAGACTTGGGTATCCCATCAAGGTTACCTAATAATGAACCACTCATTTTAAATGAAATGCAAGATGATGAATACCGAGTTTGGTCCAAATGCTAAACAAGAAACAAAGGGAATTTTTTTATCATGCTTTACATTTAATGAAGATATCTGATAATCCATTTTATGCCTTTTTAAGTGGAAGTGGAGGGGTTGGTAAATCTCACTTGATTAAGTCAATTTATCAGGCTGCTTTAAAGCACTATAACAAACGAGCTGGTGAAGACTTTCGTCGCGTTCAAGTATTATTGCTCGCTCCAACAGGAAAAGCAGCTTACCTAATTAAAGGAAACACAATCCATAGTGCCTTATCAATTCCAGCAAGCCAATCGCTTAAAATTTATAAACCACTGGACTCTGGCAGGTTGAACACTTTACGATGTGAGCTGGGTGCATTAAAGTTGATATTACTTGATGAAATATCAATGGTTGGAAACAGTATGTTTACAGTTCAGTTAAATAACCGTTTAAAAGATTTAAAAGGAAGCAAAGACGACTTTGGTGGTGTTAGCATCATCACAATCGGTGACTTATTTCAACTTAAACCTGTCATGGATGGCTACATTTTCACTGATCTCCAGTCTTTAAACTATTATAGTGTTCTTGCTCCAAATTTATGGAAAAAATATTTTAGAATGTTTGAACTTGATGAGATCATGCGACAAAGAGAAAGTAAAATGTTTGCTGAAATCTTAAACAGGTTACGAGAAGGTAAACATACAACTACTGATCTTCAAAAGCTGAAGGAAAGATGTGTTCAGGAATCGAGTTGTCCTCAAGAAGCTCCACGCTTGTTTATTCAAAATGCTTTAGTAGACAAATATAATGAACAAGTATATGAATCATTTACTGAAAATAGATATACAATTAAAGCTCAAGATAGTGTTATTGGAGCAGCTTCTGCTGAACTTAAGGAAAAAATAATGAGGCAAATACCTTATGTTCCGTTAAGAAATTCTAAACAGTTAGCTCACAAGCTAAAACTTGCTGTTGGGCAACGTACAGAAGTTGCAACAAATGTGCGAACTGATGATGGTCTTACAAATGGTGCGAGTAACATTATAAAGTTGATACAGCTCACTGATGAGAATAAACCTTCGGGTCTTATCTGGGTCCAATTTGATTATGAAGATGTTGGTAGAAAAACTCGTCAAGAAAACAGAACGCTTTATGTCACAGGAATTCAAAGCACATGGACACCAATTAAACCTGTCACAACCCAATTTCCAGTCGGTAGAACGAAATCTGCTCAAGTTGTTAGAAAACAGTTTCCATTGCGACCAGCATCAGCAAAAACTGTTCATAGATCACAAGGTGATACTCAAACACAAATTGTTGTAAACCTAAACAGTAACAGATCTTTTCCTCACATTCATTATGTTGCTTTAAGTCGTGTTACAACAATAGAAGGATTATACATCACTGACCTATGTGAAGACAAGATATCTGTTGATCAAAGAGTTGTCAAGGAAATGGAAATCTTAAGAACCGAACAAAGTTTGAATCTTTGTTTCAAACCACTTTATATGTTGGATCAATCTGATTTGAAAGTTTGTTACCTCAATGCAAGATCTCTGCATAAACACATTGAAGATGTTCGAAAAGACATTAATTACTCGTCTATGGATATTGTGATATTCACTGAAACAAGGTTTAACTCCTCAGACACTGACGATATATACAACATTGATGGCTACAGGTTGTTCAGAAATGATGTTTCCCAAGGTACGGGTCCAGGACGTCCATACGGTGGAACAGCTGTTTATAGCCGGGTCCCTTTAAAAGAAGGATACCCTTATGCTCACAACGTCAATGGAATCGAGTATACAATTATTAAAACAGAAAGTAATCCGCATCTGAATATAATTGGAATATATCGCTCACCCAATATTGCTATATCACGTCTACTGTCTTCACTACGTAGCGTACTTGATGAAGATTCTTCTGCACAAAACATTATAATTGGAGATTTCAATGTCAACTGGATGGTAGAATCTGATCGACAGTCACTCTACAATTTGATGGTTGTGCAAAATCATTACAGGCAACTGATAGCAGGCTTTACAACCGACAACAGAACGTTAATTGATCATTTATACACAAATTTAATTGAAGAGGAAATTGAAGCTGGTATTCTAGAAACTTACTTTAGTGATCATAAAGCAATATGGGCTTCTCTTAAAACATAGAAATAATAATTATATACCGTTCAATTAAGGTATCGTAAAGATAGCGAGCCATTGTGCCATTGTGAATGTTATTTAGGCAAGCCGTTGTGCCATTGCCAGTTAAGCGGCTGTGCCACTGCCAACGTTACTAAGGCAAGCCATTGCGCCACTCCCAGTGTTATTAAGGCAAGCCGCTGTCCACTGCCAATGTTATAAAAATAAGTTATTGTGTGGACGATGGCGACATTTAGGTAAGTTTTCTTTTTCTCTTTCCCCTCTCCCTTCCCTGTGTTTATGCGTTTAATTGTTTTTTCTTTTCTTTTTTAGATATCTCTATACATTAACATGGTTTCATTAACGATAACTTCAGTCAACAAAAGCACTCAAAATAGAACAATTTTGGTATGTTGCTACGTCTTATTACCATCTAGTCATGTCACGGACAAAGCTCGAACTGTATGGCTTATGCCATCTATGTTACATTATACATAATTGCATTCACTAATACTGTTGTATTAATACTTACAGATATCAGACGTATACAATAATATGCCTATCATTTGCTTGCGCCTGACAACATTGGTGGATAAATTATATTGAATGATATCATCTTATGTCAATGAATATTCAAAAATGAAACAATTCAATTCAGCTACCAACTGCTTGACCATTAACTGACACAACCACTTCAACGAAATCGCACGTACAAAGAAAAGTTAACACGTCTACGGTTGTGTCGTTATGTTATCTGAAAATTCAATGTGGAAGACTTGAAAAATAATAAAGATAAACAGTACCTGAAGATACGATTTGGATATTTTTGTTCGATACATTGCACCTGGCTCTGATACCAAACATGTTAAAGCGAAAAGCTACTCAACGAAGTCGCACGTACAGTACAAAGTCTCAAAGAAAAAGTAACTCGGCAATGAAGATTTGATAATTAAGAAAGATGCACAGTACTTGAAGAAGTACTTTATTGTACGGTACATTGCACCTGTTCGAATACTCCTAATCGAGCCAACAACGTGCGTGAGTACCTGTTATACGAACAATGGACTCGATATGCATCATAATCAACATCTTCAAAATTACACTGGGTAGAACATGTATTGTAATACGCAATAACACGTGTTCTATTGTCATAAAAAATTACTCGTCTTTTAGTTTTTAGTAGCTGAATGTTCGTTATTTATAATTCACGTTGTCATTGACCATTTTTGGCAAACTTTGGAAATTGTGGAATCGATTGTAATTAAATCACTGACTTATAGACTTATTTTATATATTGAAAAATTGACTGTAACCCATACTCTAATTTCAATTTTGTATATACAGTAGCCGTGGTCCAAATAAATCTTATTTAGTATTGTACTATTTTTGTTGATTATCATTATCAAACGTTATACATCGTTGCATTAGTTTACTAATGAAGTAAAACATTCTATAAATGTCTAGTGTCAGAAAGTCGTATCTCTGCAAGCCTAGATTTAGGCAAATCTTTGCGTACAACGTAGGCGGATAAAGGAGTGCGACCCCCCTCCCCCAAGAAAACCTGTGCACTCCCCAAAAAGTTTTCCCGTCCCCAAAAAGGTTTTGTTAGATTAGTTATAAGTGCACGCATCAAAAGGTTTGATTGGCATGCAACATGGACGCACTGCGTACCTATTTTTTAAATCTTGAACCGAAAATAATTCGCTTTTTTAACAACCTTAGAATGAACTTTTGAAGTTAAAACTTTGAGAGAATGTAGTAAAATTACCAGTGTTTGAAATGATGTAGATTTTATATTGTTTTTGTTTGTAATTTGCGAAATATTCATACTCAAGTAAACGTTGTAATAAATTTCCGTTAAAACTCTTGCCAACCTTGTCATAATAATAAACTGAGTAGACTCGATGCATGCCCGAGCGCCACGCGCGAGGGTAAAAATTACAACACGCACTTTTGGGCAGCCTATGGTTATACCAGAAGCGTAACTCTGGTCGTTTCCCTTATTGTTTGACGTCCACGAAAATTTTTAACTCGCTCACGTCAGGCCACGCCATCCTGGCTAGTACAGCCGGAAGTTTTTATCAGGATTTGGTAGGTACAAAGTGCTGGTTGTACTAGCCAGGATGGCGTGATTGATGACGAATCGCTTGTAAAAACGTGGACAAATATTTGCTCGAGTTACGCTTCTGGTATAACTTCCTATTCTGTGATACTGCAGTGCAAAAAGCAAATTATTTTCATGAAGTATCTGTCAGTTGAAGTCGTCAGTTCATCTCACAACAACAAATTTTAAATTTGACCAATCAGTGTTCGCTATTCACGACAGTCCGCTATATTTTGAGATCAGTGAGGATGACCACCCATGAACGGTGAACCATGCGCCCGCGATATTTGATGAACTTTAGACTCCGCTAATGCTTTCGTTTCCCCGGTAGCCTGCGAACAGGCCCTGGGTTGCGGGCGGCGCGAAGAATAGAGGGCCTGCACGGATGATAGGTTTTCTTGGTAGTGGCGTTCGTATAGAAACGCAGGCTTCTGATTGGCTTACACTCGTTGACAAAATTACTAAAAATAGCAAATGTCAACAACAGCATTTTGAAGAATTTGAACTTTATTCATTTTAATATTATATATTATAGGACTATCGAACAAATAAAACTAGAAGTGGAAACCAAAAGCAATAGCAAAGCATCACAGCAAAAAAGTGTATCATAAATGACTTGAATCTATCGCTTAAATTCAATATACGAAACTATAACAGTATTCTGAACTTCGTCTTCGGATTGACATCAGACTATAGTATAGTACATTTTGAGGTCGTCGTGGCTTCACGGATTATTCTCATTAGTGAGCAAGTCAGCAAGCGAGGGCATACAAAAGATACCCAAATATGTACGAATAATTATATTGTTGATCCTCGCTGGCATGTCATTTAGATAAATATATATCGTACATTAAACGTTGTACTATTTGCTGTATATTAACTGCTGACAATTTCGTCGTCGATACGGCTTCCACTATTGGCACAGTCGTGATTTCGAAGAAATTAATAAATACAATATGCTCATTTATCATTTATTTAGACCACAGTTAGTAAAATTTTAAACGTATTCGGTATTCCAAATCCCAATCTATCTGACCGTATTTTAGTAATAGCTTCAAAATATTCAGAACATTGTTCTTTCAGTCGCACATAGTACAAGTATTACTGTACATTCAAAGCCAATGGTAGTATTTTATTCGGCTTTATATTTGTATGTGTATTGATATATATTTAATATTTGAAGAATTCTATATTTTTCCGAGTAATATATTGTGCGGCCCGCTAATGCTTTGTATTATTGTTCATGTTGCACAATGTACACGCCTTGCGTCAATTTGACAGTTGACAGTTTATTTATCGCAGTCGACGCTGATTGGTTAGCGTTTAGCAGATGCGAAAAGGGGATGAATGAATAAAACGCATGGTTCCGTGCAGGCTCACCTTTCTCCCAGTGAGCCTGTTCGCAGGCTATTTCCCCGGGTGTAAATAGCCGGGGGGAATTAGTACCCTCGCACGGCGCTTCGCGCCGCCGGCTCGGGGATTAGCAATTGATCAACACTGAACGCAGACTCGCGGCCATGGAAACACGATAAACTTAATTTTTATTATATTTTTTGTACAACGTGCCAAAAATAGTTTAATTTAAAGATTATTGCTTTTAACTATATAACAATGAATTTTCGAAATATGTACTGTAGGTATGTTGTTCTGTATTTTGTGAGCTTTGATTTAATGTAAATTTTAACCTGAATCGCTTCGTAAAATGTTTTGAAATGTTCATTTTAATATTAAATTATAAACTGCTTTTTCCGATAAACTGTTTTTATTTTACAAAACAAAATAAGTTCAAATTGTTAGTGACTAATTTCAGTTCGGTTTTCAAATTAATTTGCTCTCCTTTACATTTTACCTTTTTTTCTTAAATTAAATTAAACAGGGTAATTTAGCAAACTTTAATACAGCTTCATTGAAAATGAAAGCTGTGCAGCAGCATGTTTTTGTACGCATTTAATAAAGCAACAAACTAATTTAATATTAAATGCAATAATTTAATAAACCGAAAAAAATCCTAAACATTAAATATTCAAAGCAAACTTGCCCTATATTCCACGATTTTCCACAGTAAATCAATTCTTCTCATTTCTTCAAACAAAAATTGCTTCAAAGCTCATTGGATGTGAAACGTGATTTTCCAAATGCATCCTTTTGAAAATTGAAATCTTGTTTATCCCACTCCTGGCAATCAGCCATATTTTTGAGATCAGTGAGGATGACCAACCACGGTTGGTGACCACGTCCGCGATCATTGATGAACTTTAGACTTCGCTAATGCTTCCCTTTCCCCGGGTGTAAATAGCCGGGCGGAATTAGTACCCTCGCCCCGGGCTAACACCCGGAACGGCGCTCCGAACTCATAAGTCAAATAACTATAAAATTAAAGTATTGATCATGCAAGTTCCCAAAGCGATACGTAATCTTTTAGACGCGTTTCAATAAAACTGTTTTCCAATACTATACATCATGCCCAATGCTGTGTGTGAAATCATTGTAGATTTAAGAAGTAAGAATTTTAATTTTGCAACAGATCTATGCATATTACGGTTACCACTGTCTATCTGAAGATGTGGAAGCATTGGAGTTTAAGGGTAAGTTACTATATTTTTGTATCTGAATTAGTATTATAATATTCTTTATTAATATATTCAGCTCTTCATTATATTGTTTTGTTTTGTTTCAATCACTTTATTGCCAAGTAAATGGTAAGACGTTGCTTAGCAGGGCCGGTTGTATAAAAAGCTGGTCAAAGTGGACCATATAGTTAATGCGAAAGTTATAACCAATCACAATCTCGTAATCAACTAGTACTTAATGTGGCTGGATACAGTTTTCAAATATTCAGGTGTTCGACACTTTGACATGTTCAAACTATAGCTTCGCATTTTTAGAATTTATTCAGCAGATATAGTTTTTTATATATTTTGAT